CAAATCAAAGAAATCACATCCAAGAGAGTTTTGGAACTCATACATATGGACTTGATGGGACCAGCTCAAACTGAAAGTATAGCTGGACGCAGATACATTTTTGTGTTGGTAGATGACTACTCACGTTTCACATGGGTACGATTTCTGAGAGAAAAATCTGAAACCTTGCAAAGCTTCAAGATGATAGCTCTTCGATTGGCCAACGAGAAAGGAAGCATTGCACAGATCAGAAGTGACAATGGTGGTGAATTTCAGAATGAAGCATTTGATCATTTCTGTCAAGAGCGTGGAATCAGACGACAGTTCTCTGCGCCAAGAACTCCTCCGCAAAACGACTTTGTTGAAAGGAAAAACAGGACTGTGCAAGAAACAGCTAGGGCAATGATGCACTACAATCAAGTTCCTACAAGATGTTGGGCTGGAGCAATTAGTACAACTTGCTACATAATCAACAGAGTGTACGTAAAACCAAGAACAAAGACTACGCCGTATGAAATCTGGAGAGGAAAGACACCGAATCTGAGTCATCTGCATGTCTTTGGATGTATTTCCTACATACTCAATGATAGAGAGAACTTAGGCAAGTTTGACTCCATAAGTGATGAAGGAATATTTCTGGGTTACTCAACTCACAGTATGGCGTGCAGAGTTTACAACAAAGCTACAAAAATAGATGAAGATGTGAATGTTGTCAGAAATAAGTCACGATTGGTTGTTCAGGGTTACTGTCAGATAGAAGGTGTGTACTTTGATGAAACTTTGGCTCCTGTAGCCAGGTTGGAATCAATCAGGCTGCTACTCGGAATTGCATGCAAGCTGAACATTAGATTGTACCAGATGGATGTCAAGAGTGCATTTTTGAACGGGTTACTCCAGGAAGAAGTGTACGTTGCACAACCAAAAGGATTCGAAGACCCCAAGTTTCCTGAACATGTCTATAAGCTGAAAAGGGCTCTTTATGGTTTGAGACAAGCCCCTAGAGCTTGGTATGAAAGACTCACACAATTTCTTCTTGAGGCAGGCTTTAAGCGTGGAAATGTAGATCGAACCTTGTTCATTCTTGAGAAAAACAGTGAGATGTTGGTCATGCAGATCTATGTTGATGACATAATCTTTGGAGGCACAAGGGAAACACTGGTGAAAGAATTTGTTCAGACTATGACTAGCGAGTTTGAAATGAGCATGGTTGGGGAGCTTAACTACTTTTTGGGACTTCAAATCAAGCAGATGGATGAGGGAATCTTTGTTTCACAGAGCACATACTCCAGAAACCTGATCGCCAGATTTGAGATGCATATGTCAAAGAAATCAAGGATTCCAATCAGTACAACGTGCAAACTGTCCAAAGATGAGCAGGGAGTGAAAGTGGATGAAAATTTGTACCGAGCTATGATAGGAAGTTTGCTTTATCTTACAGCAAGTCGACCTGATATCTGTTACAGTGTCGGTGTATGCGCACGGTACCAAGACAGTCCACGGGTGTCACACTTAAATGCACTTAAGAGGATAATCAAATACGTGAAAGGAACAACTAATCTTGGATTATATTACACAAAAGATACTAATCTAAGCTTGGCTGGTTTTTGTGATGCAGATTGGGCTGGTAGTTTGGATGACCGAAGGAGCACTTCTGGTGGATGTTTCTTCTTGGGAAACAATATGGTTTCATGGCACAGCAAGAAAAAAAATTGTGTATCTCTCTCAACGGCTGAAGCAGAATACATCGCTCTTGGAAGCTGTTGCACTCAACTGTTGTGGATGAAACACATGCTATCTGACTATGGTATGACCTCAAACCCACTAATGGTATATTGTGATAATCAAAGTGCAATTAATATCTTGAAAAATCATGTGATGCATTCGAAAACCAAACATATTGCAATAAGATATCATTTTGTTAGGGATTTGGTTGAGGCCAAAATTGTGGCGTCAGAGTTTGTTTCATCAGCACGACAGCTTGCAGATATTTTCACCAAAGCTCTTGATCTAAACACGTTTTTAAACTTAAGAAAGGCGATTGGAGTCTTTGAAGCTTGAGCAGCTTGGGCTATGAGGGTTGAACAGGTTCTAAGTATGTATGAACAGAGAAACTATCAAGAAGTTTTCATGAGTCTTACAATGAGATAAAAACCTCCTGTTGGCAAGTCAAACGTAAAGAGGGCTACTCATCATGCACTGGTAAGTCAAGATTACTTTGGGAGTTTAAACTGAGAGACAGTTTCAATACACTCTTGGATATGGATGACACCACATTGATAGCTAAGCTTGGTCAGTATTGAACTGTTTAAGAATGAAGGATACTCAGCTTGGACCTGGACGCAACAACGTTTATGTCTAGGCTGATCACTATCTGGACTTAGAAGATAAAAGCAGAGTTACAAGTAAAAGAAAGGTTCTCTAAAGGTGGTGGAAAAAAAAATGATGAGAAGGAGATTATTGAAAAAGAAAAAGAAGAATGAGATTGGAAAAGAAAAAAAAAATGATGAGATAAGAAGAAGTATTGAATATGATGATGACGCAAAAAAAAAAAGAGAACCTCCCAGCAGGATAAACAATCTCGTTGGATTTAGGTACAAAAATACTTGAACACTGACTGAGATCAATGTTTTGATTGGGTTTTACTTGGATAGTCTGTCTTTTATCTGGTCTTGGTTAGAGGTAATGAACTTCATGTGTATGATGATGTGAAGACTAGTACGTTATGATCGAAGTGATGAAAGCTGTCTCAGATAGCCGTTGCGGAGAGCCAATGGGTTGATGCTGTTTTTGGTTTTATCAACAAAATACTTCTTGATGGGTCTCTGCTACATGATACTGGTAAATGTTGAATCCTCCTCTAGCCAAGCCTGCACAAGTATGTAAATAGGTTAGCTAGTTTTTTTCTTTAATTAAGTGTTAGTGCTGATGAAACTCACTCGTCTCGCCAAGTTCTTAGTAACATGCATACTCTTGCACAAGCATATCTCATCTAAGGCATAATGGGTTTTATTTTATCTTATTTGGTTAAACGGTTCAACACTAATGGACCAAGTGTGTGAGGTGTGTATTTAAGGACTAACCCTAGGTCAATGGAGGAACAAGCCGTTACCCCAAAATTGAGTTCTAAAATTGCGGATGAGTGGAATGGGGAAATCTGAGCATGCTTGACATAAGATCAACTATGAACACACTGTTCAAGTTCTGTGTGTACAACTGGATGCCTACTGCAAACAGGTCAACACTGACCATTCAGCACGTACTTCAGTCCCAGCACCCGGGAAGATGATGGTTGATGGAAAGCAGGGTCTTCCAAAGAAACACTCAGGAACAGCTCCTAAGGGCTCATTGACAAAGGATCTTGGTGACGTTTATCGTCTGGTTGACAACATCGTCAGATGATCTGCTAGTAAGTATTCTCTGTTTCCTGATTAAGTTTTGGTTTCATAACTTGGTTTTTAAGTGTCTATGCCACCAAGCAGGGGGAGAATATGAGGGATTTGTCTAATTTAGGGTCCTACGTTCTAGGGGGAGTCTGGAGTCTGGGAAGTCTGTTTTCATGAGTTTTTGATTTCAGGGGGAGTGTTTAATGCAAGTAGGTAGTTATGGATAAGATACAAGTTTATTTTTACGGATAAGATACAAGTTTATTTTCCCCTTGGTATTGATGGACGGTTGTGCTGATAAGAATGCTGGTGTTGTATTTCTGAAATGATCATTTGGTTGAATGCTATGGTTTTATGCTTACTAACACTAGTATGTATTTCTACATAGATGTTGCTTTTTAGTGGTTTTTGTCACAGGTGCTTGGTGATGATAGACAGGTGCTTGATGATGATAGACACTCAAAAAGGGGGAGATTGTTGGGACATGAAACCTCGTGAAGTGTTCAACAATTACAAGATTGCTCGAGTTCGAGTCTAGGCGGGAACAATTCAAACTCATGTGGTGACGTGGCAAGTGAAGAATTATCTGCTGATAGGATATACATAAGTCTGAGAGATTCTAGGAATTAGAATAGGAGATTTGATGTTATCTTAGAGTGAAAAGATCAGCTCGCCTAGGTCTATAATAGGCGAGGCTGGTGCTTTAGAAAGTCTACGGGTTTAGAGCTTTAGTGTTTTTGACGGCAAGAGCAAAAAGGTTTTTTGGGTCTTGTGAGTCTTTGAAGTTGTTCAGTGTTGATTCACATGTTGTGAAGTCAAGTAAAGCTGATTAAACAAGTTAGCGTGTAATTTGTTTAAAGAACTTCAATAAAGCATTCAGTTGTTTGAATTCGTGAGATTATATCTGTGCTCTAGGTTTTTCAGCATCAACAAAGCTCCTGAAGATATTCTTTTGGGGTTTTGTTGATACATTTAGAATAGCTCCTTGCCTTTAACTTATATCATTGATGTTCATACATTCTTGGTTTTTAGTACGTATTTTCCAATCAGTGTGAAGAAGAAGGCTGCAAATCTTTAGATAAGTACATCAAACCTGGGTCTATGAACTTTTCTGGATTTTCAGTCGTTTTTGTTATGTTGTAGTTGACTTTTTGATCACAGTATTTCTTTTACCTCTCAAATTGGTTTAGTGAAAAAAGATTGTCTCTAAAGGTTTCTCAGCATTACTACTCTTTATTTCGTAGGTTCTGGTGGTCAAGAGCAAGGAGACCATGGAGAAGAATCTCAACGCACAAACAGTCAATAGAAACATTTCTTCAGCTTGAGACGCGAAACAAGACTGCTCCGTATACATGTCCTACTACCAAGACTAGGTTTCTTTACTCATTAAGATTAGTCTCTCTTTTTTTTTAACTAGAATGGTTTCTCATGGCTTCTTGAAAACAGATTCTTCCCTTGGTGAAGAAGCATAAGGTCTGACATCTGAACAAGACAGAACGAGCTTCCTCTTGAGGTTCAGAACCTGAGATGCAGAGTAAACTTCAACGGACTTAGGTTTACTCCAAATATTGAGGAACTAGAGTAGTCAAGATTCTGAGAGAGAAAGGTCCATTTCTGTTTCTCCATCTCAGCCACGAAATGGATATGTTGGCCTTCTCTGGTTTCTCTCATGGTTGCAACCGCTGCGATGATGAAGAGCTTACAAGAATGAGATATGCTCATCCATGGTGGAAAGAGAAAGTAATAAACTCTAAGATGAAGAGGAAGGTCTTTGTCCATTGACACCAGAAGAAACAGCTCTGACACTATCTGCTTTAGGCATTGACCGTAATGTTCAGATTTACATAGCTGCAGGAGAGATATACGGTGGTAAAAGGAGGTTAAACGCTTTAACAGATTTTTTTCCAAATGTGGTTAGTAGCTTATTGTTTTGAAAAGATTCACTCATAGTGTTAGTAACTGACTAAACCTTTTTGATCATTTTTAAAACAGGTGAGGAAAGGAACTCTGCTAGATTCCTCTGATTTGAGTTTTTGTCAGAACCATTCTTCTCAAATGACTGCTCTTGATTACTTCATCTCTCTTGAAAGTGATATATTTGTTCCTACTTATTATGGGAACATGGCTAAAGTCATTGAAGGTCATCGCAGGTGAATCATTGTTTGTTTCATCAATGTCTAATGAACTTAATCAACATATAGGTTCTTGGGGTTCAAGAAGACGATTGAGCTAAACAGGAAGTTCTTGGTTAATCTAATAGATGAATACTACCAAGGATTTTTGAGCTGGGAAGTATTTTCAACCACGGTGAAGGCCTTTCACGCTACAAGAATGGGAGGTCCCAAGAAGCGGCTTGTGATTCCTAATAAACCTAACGAAGAAGACTATTTCTATGTTAATACCTATAAATGTGTTGAGCTGTTACATGAGAATAATGGCGATTCACTAGAAGAAACCATATGATCTGATGATCCACCATTGTCGTCTTTGTGGTTGGAGGTTTAGGCTTTGCTGGGTGATGCAAGACATGGATGGGTGAATAATGGAGTTATCTATGGGGACTGTATATCAATCTCAGTTAAGGCTTTTTGGATGTACAGAGACTTCTGAAGAGCTTATGTGGATGAGAAGATAGGTTGGAGTGGTGTTGATGAATCGATTTCAATTTCCGTTGAAAAAATCGAATCGCCGAAAAAAAGGAAGGAATCAATCTCGACAGTGAAGGGAAATTAGGTTAACGCGCTTGAACGTAGAAGAATGGAAGACTTTGGGCCGAAAACAAATAATTCAGAAATAAGACTAAAAATAAAAAACTTAGATGACTAAAATTTAAGCCCAAATGCTTAGGCGGAGATGGACAGCTGGTTACTCTCCATTGGTTGGAATAAAAATGCCATGTGGACAGGCTGAGCACTCTAGAATAAGACCTTTTAATATTGTTAGATGTGAAATAACTAAGTGTTCTATTTCATTTTTTTTATCTGTATAAATCATATTTTCTCTACATTTTCGTATTTAAAATTATATTACACAATTTTTTCGTTAAATTGTGACTTGACTTTCCAGACACTTGAATCAAAAACAAATAACGTTTTCCCCACTTTCTCTCAACTACCTGAGTTTCATAATTTCATTGTATTGTCGTGAAACGAATAATACAGAGACTGAGAAACCATCATTGTCCCTAAACCTGCAGGATACAAACCTTAGGTTTTATACTTTAATAGCAGACTTCTCAGACTGTATATCCCAAACTAGCTAATTTACTATATCATCATTTGGTCTCTTCTTCTCAGCAGCTAACAAACACACAAAGCTGAAAGGAAACTCCTTCTGTACTTTACGTAGAAACTAATCACCCGTTTGGTCTCTTCTTCTCATGAACGGAATCAAAGCAAACAACTATGCGAAAGAAAAAAAAACTTCCTCAAGAAAAAAAAAGGAAGTCTGATATCCATATAGACATTAAAACAGATAAAAAAAAAACATTCACCGGTTCACAAACGGACATGATCACGAAGATTGCAGCCGACCGTAAGTCGGTTACATAACCGAAGAAACAGAAGCAAATAACAAATCACATATAGTCTCAAGAATAAAGCAAAACAGAGGATCGGTGACAACATGTTATTGATAAACTTGCAATCGATTCATCACATACAATGCTATTGTATAAACCCGGGCGTAGCATGGGCAAAATCTCTAGTTAATATAATGCTTCAATATCTACTCTCTCCATAGCAAAAATATTCTTACTTCTTTGAGCATAAAAATAATTCCGCCTCATCACTTCAGACACATTTGGTATTCCACATGTTTCTCTATTACTGAGAAAAGAAACGAAGTTAGACTTTGAGTGTTCTTAGGAACTTTGGCTGCTTCCTCAAATATTAATTTCCGAGGTGTACATCAAAATGCCATCAATACATATGAGAATAAATTATTGCAGAAATTTTTTAAAGACACAGCTCATTAAACTTTGAAACATGGCTTGAACATTAGTAAGACTGAATGGCATCACTAAATATATATTATAATCTATGAGTTTTGAAACATGTTTTATAAATATCTCTTGTATCCATCCTCACTTAGTGGTTGTTCACTCTTAAATTGATCTTCGAATATAGTTTAGAACTTCTAAACTTATCCATCATATCCTCCATTAGCTAAATTGATATTATTATTTTTTCAAAAACTTTATTAGTTTAACTATTTAATGGAACGTTGGTGGTTTTAAATTATAATGAATACATTCAATGAGATATAACCTCGAGTTTGGATATGCTTTAAAATATTTTTAAACATATATATTATAAATTTATGTAGTCTAAATTCTTCAAATCTCGCATTAAAAAAAATCATTTTAAGAAATATTTTCTGTTGATTATATTACATCATGAATTTTCAAATGTTTCGTATATATTAACTGAATTAATTTTAAAGGATTTTTAATTTGTTATTGTACATTATTTTATATTGTTAATTTACCATTTTCTATTAATTTTCATTTTTTTGAAAGAAATATATTTTGAATTTTTTATGTTTTAAAATATTTAATAAGATACTAAATTTGTATATTTTAATGATAATTTTTAATTTTATGTGAAAACAATTATATTCGAAGGATTTCAAGTACATATACGATTTTATATATGGACTTCAAATGATTTCAAGTATATACGACACTCACTGAACTTTCTTTTCTTGGTGATCTTCGAACATTGACTCTTGCACCACTCTCAGTCCGTAAATACCTCGACATTCCATTAGTTTGAAATACAACGTCGGACGCTTTCAAGCTTTCTTCAAATCCAAAAAGAGGTCATATAAAAAGCAACGTGCCAAATCAAGAAAGATCTCAATTTAGACCGTACCAAATGCAATGAACCCACCGTATCTTCTTCTGATTTCTTGTGGTGCTAGGGAGCAGAAACACGTCAAAGGAGTCTGGAGAAACTTGCAGTTTAAGAAAGCTCGTTTTGTCTTCATTTATTGTCAGCCAAAAGTGGTCTTAGCAAATGATATGCTCACAGATCCCGCAGGCTGATTGTAAGTGAGCGTTGAAGCTGCGTTGTTATCTTTTCTCTTCTTTGTCTTAGCCAACGTGAACCCGCTTGTCGGCATCGTGGTTTGAGATAAACCTGTGTACGGAAACTCGCTTCATGTAGTCGCTTCAGATGTCTCTGATAGCGTATGGAAAATGATTGTGTCTCGGCTTCCTTCGAAAACAATGAACCAAATCACTTATAAGGAACCGGGGTTTTGAAGCATCTGTTTATTCCGGTCTGTTTGTAATTTTAGCTTTGATACAATAAATATTGTTGAGGGTAGCTTGTTGTATTACATACCTGTTAGGTTGGTAACTTGTTTAGATTTGTAAGCTCTTTGATACCTTATTTTCTCCTGCAAAACAAATATTATGATTTCCCAGGTCTCAACACATAATCACAGAGACTTTATACAGATATTATGAAAATCGATTCAAACCCTCATTGAAGTTCTCCACGGTACTTAGCATCCATTTCCTTGTTAGGAGGAAATTTAGGTAATGTCGATGTATCACAAGCATAAGGTTTTGTGTTAAAGTACTAAAATAATAGCAAATCCACAGAGAAGACCAAAACACTGTCAGTTTTAGGTTTTGGGTTCTTTTTTCTTTACCTATTACATGAGAGCATAAGAGGCAGTTCCTCGTTAGTCTGGACCAAAAGATAATAGATTATCCTGAAAATCAGCTGATGTTATCGGAAACTCCTTGATGTTAATAGATTCTCAGACAACGTCATATTTGTTAAATATCAGTAATGCTTATCCATTTTGAGATATTTATTAGAATATTATTTACTTTATGAGGAAGTAAAAACTCACCGACTCACCTTCCTATATAATGATCAGTTCACGATCATTTTGTAAGTAGTGAATGAAAACTTCAACATCTCACTACTCTATCTCTCTTTATCTCGTTACACTTATACATATAATTTAAACAAAGTTATATCAATATAAGTTTACCTTTTATTACACAACACGTTATCAGCACGAAGCTCTGATCTTATATCAAATAAGGTTATACCGGTGAGGTAAAGTTTAATTTATGTATTTCAATAATTTTAATTATCATAATTTTATTATTGTTTCGGAGTAAGAGGCTAGGCCTTCTCCGTTTATTTTCGGGATGATAGGCGTTGCCTTCCCCGACTGATCGATAAGATGGCTATGCTGTCACGATCAGAAAAACACGTGATAGGCTTTGCCTCCGTGAATAAAAAAGATCAAAATGGATGACTATGTCACCTCGGATCTTTAATAAAAATGAAAGGTCAAAAATGGTAGACTAAGTCTCCTCGGACCTTGAATAAAAATTAAAGGTTAACATGGCAGACTATGTCTCCTCAAACCTTGATAAAAGTGATCAACATGGTAGACTATGTCTCCTCGGATCATTTGGAAGGCTAAGCCTCCAGTTTTATTTATGCTTTTAAATTTCTGCAATTTAATTTTTGCTTTTATTTTATGCTTTTAGTTTCTGCATTTAAATATTGCATTTAAATTTCCGTCTTTATTATATTTATATATTATTATTCTATTAATACAGTTATCATGTCGAATCTGACAGAGCTCAAAATAAATGCCCTGTATATTACGGGAAATAATTATATGACCTGGGCAGTGGGTGCAAAGATGCACCTGAGAGGAAACAAGCTATTGGAAACAATCGATAATACAAAAACGGTGTCGGATGAGAAAAAGGCTAAAACCATGATATTTTTACGACACCACATACGTGATGGTTTAAAAGATGAATATATTATGAAAGAGGAACCTTTGGACCTCTGGCAATCCTTAAAAGAGAGGTTCGATCACCAGAAATATGTGATCTTACCGAAAGCTAAACACGAGTGGGTCCATCTCCGGTTCCAGGACTATAAAAGTGTTAGTGAGTTTAATTCCGCTATGTTCGGAATTACATCTAGGATGATGTTATGTGGGGAGAAAATAAGTGATTATGATATGATCGAGAAAACTCTCTCCACGTTCCATCCTGGAAATATAGTCATGCAGCAACAATACCGGGCGAGTGGATATACCCGTTACTCGGAGTTGATGCAAGTCCTCCTTGTAGCGGAGGAGAATAATCAACTCGTGACTTTAAACCATCAGGCTCGTCCCACTGGATCTGCTCCATTCCCTGAAGCGAATGTTGCATCATCCAGTTATGATAATTCGAGAGGACGAGGTCGTGGACGCGGTCGAGACCGTTATCATGGTCGTGGAAGAGGACGAGGAAGAAGATTTCGTCCATATGATAAAATAAATAATAAAGATTTCCACGAAAATGAAAAAGGTGAAAGGGGCCGGGATGATAAAAAGCAAACAGGAGTTTGCTACAGATGCGGTATGAAAGGGCATTGGGCACATGTTTTCCGTACGCCAAAACATTTAGCAGATCTGTGTAAAGAATC